CCCCCATCTGAGTAATGAGGTTCCTCTGCCCCGAGATGCTGCATCCACGCCCTCACCCACCTGGACGGATGAACCACAGACAGACAGACAGACAGAACCTCCTGAGCAACCCAGCCCTTCACCGGCAGCCCTGGCCCCCCTCACACCCTCACAGGGGCTGAGAGCTCCCTCCCCTCTCCTGCAGCCCTGCGTCTTCCCCTTTCGCCCGGCAGCCTCTCTCCAGGCCCAGCCTCCCAGATCCCTGTGCTCCCTTGTGTCCCTGCCTATCCCATCCCCCCAGCAACCAGCAACCTAAGGTACCAGTCGTGTCCACTCTAACCACCCACCTCTGTGCCAATACCCTCACCTCCACCCCCAGACCCAGGAGCTCTCCCTCTCTGTACCCCCTTCGGGTCTTATCCCACCCCCCCATCTCCCCAGATCCTGTTGCCCCCTCCCCTCCCCCCACTCTTGTGCTTTTGCATATAAAATGGGGATTACTGGGCGTGCATGGTAACACCCCACATGAGAGGCACTCAGTGAAGAGTACATGTTATCTGTATCATTACTGAACAGCAGTTAAGTGGCCTGGGCTTTTAGCCTGGTGTGCCATTGTCCACCTGAGGGACCCGGCGGGCCTCAGTTTTCACATCTAAAAAATGGGGTAATAATATCAATCTCATTGTGTTGTGAGCGTTTGCTGAGTCACAACATGTAAGGAGATAGAGCAGGACCTGGCATATCCAGAGTGTCCGGCACATGTTGACTGATTTTGTTCTTTTTTTTTTTGAGTCAGAATCTCTGTCACCCAGGCTGGAGTGAAGTGGCATGGCCGCTCACGGACACCGCAGCCTCGACCTACTGGGCTCAGGTGATCCTTCCGCCTCAGCCTTCCAGGTAGCCGGAACCACAGGCATGTGCCACCACGGCCCGCTAATCTTTTGATTTATTGTAGAGACGAGGTCTCGCCAAGTTGCTCAGGCTGGTCTCGAACCCCTGGGCTCAGGCAATCCTCTTGCCTCCTCTGCCTCCCAAAGTGCTGGGATTACAGGTGTGCGCCACCGCGCCTGGCCTGTTATTCCGATTACAGTTACTATGAGAGTCCCCAGAAGCAGGCGTGGAAGAGAGCGCCAGGGAGGCAGGGCCTTCGGTCTTGC